GACGTGTTTCCCAATAGGTGAAACAATCCGGATATCAAAGCAAACCGTTCTTCTCTCCGTTTCGTCGGCCCTTTTCCGATAAAACGCTGGCCTCCTTTCGCAAGTCACAGCTTGACTGTTGCAAATTTGATGAGTCTGGGCCCAAAGCAGCAGGTCTGCTGAACGCACGCTCCCACTATCTCAGACCAAACCGGTGTAGGCCCACTCCCTCCTCAGCTCCCTCTGACAGTAGGCGGAATTAAGGTGTTTCACCAGGAAAAAACGCATGAAAAGGAGCCCCAAAGAGTGGATTTGCACCCCACAGAGGTGGTCAGTCAGGTTATTTAGCCCGATTCTTTAGTTGGAAGCCTGAGAATAAACCAGAGTAGACAAAGAATACAAATATAAATATAAATAAAAGTAAATCATAGCTAGGCTCCCGGAGGATCCCGATTTCCGGGTGCAATGGTCAGTTTTCCTGTGGGCCTCGAACAGGAGGATGAGTGTTATTGGCCAGTTAGCTCTGACCTGAACAGGCCAGGTCCTAATTCATGCAGGTTTTGGTGGAATGTGATAAGAAAGTGTGGATGTTGAGCTCTAAGACGAGTATCTACTGTAACAGAGAGGAGGAGGAGGCACAGCCAGAGAGTTTAACCCAAAAGTATAATTATAAAGGGAATAATATCAATCTAAAAAGGGATAAGACAATCAGTCATTGACATGGATTAAGTTATAACGTAATTATAGCTCAATTCTAACAATGTGGCAAAAGGAGATCAGTCGCCTCCTTTCTCTCGTTTGATTTTAAAGTCCTTCGATTTTATTTCTTTATTTCTGCTAATTCTGTTCAACCGTTGCTTATTTTAATGACCAGCAGGGGCTCCGGTCCTCTTCACCTGAGTGTTTCCCTCGTAATTATTCCACAGGATGTGCTGCTCATGGGAATGTTGAGTCAGGATTCCCGTCTCAGTTAGACTTCCGGAGAGCAGATCTCAGAGTTTGTCCACTTAGGTTTGAAAGGCCTCTAGTGACCTCTAGTGGCTGAAAGCGGGAGTGCGACCAAAGGGAGGCCTCATTATTCTGTCGCTTTATTTATTTATTTATTTATTTAATCAGGACAGTGCACATTAATGAACAATCTCATACAAATTGTAAATGAGCCAGATTCTAGCATAGTTGCTAATTCGCATCTGAAGACAAAACAACACAAAAATCACATAATACAATATCAGTTAAAACAGAGAGACACGCGTTCAGACAATGACATTACAAAATTAAAAATTAGTGATTGCATGACTGGGAACTTTTGAGAAACAGTTTAAGGTGCTTTTTAAATGTGTAAAAAGTGGGACCTTTCCAATGTTTGTTGGGAGTTTGTTCCAGAAGTGACCCCCTCTGACCGGTAAAGGTTTGTCCAAAGGTTGTTCTTCTGTGGGGGGTCTCTGGGTCTCCTCTGGAAGAGTCTACCAGGTCTAATGTAGGTAGAAAGTGGAGGTGGGGCTAATCCATTCAGAACTTTGTCAATTAAACAACTATTTTTATAATGACTAAAGTTTTCAAAACTGAGCATATTATATTTTTCCAGAATATTACACTGACTAATGGAATGACAGGGGCTTTTGATCAAAGATTTTTAAAGATCTTTTGAATAATATATTTTTTTGCTTTCCTTACATTATCTCTGCAGGTCGTGGACTCCCTGTTCATCGCCCGCTTCGTGCTGCTGGCGGCCGCCGCCGCCGTTTTCCTGCTGGCGCTCTTCATGCTGCTGCCGTTCCACTTCCTGGAGCCCGTGCACGCCAAGGCCCTGAGGGCGCCCTGAGCCAATCCGAGGTGTTTATAAAGCCACCAACACAAAGGACAAACTGTCATTTCCTGTTTATTTATGTGTTTTTACTTCTCCTTTTGGTCAACCTTTCATGATTTGCTCTAACATTATGAGCAAATCATGTCATTTCTTCATACGAGGACCCCAGGAAGACTAGTGGCCATTTATTTGGCAGCTAATGGGGATCCTAATAAAACTAAACTAAACTAAACTAATAATAAAATCGTCCTTTTTCTATAATAGCCTCTTTCTGTGTCTTTTGTGAGGAGCTCCTTTAGTAGAAAACTGGAGCGGCACATATCAAATATCATTGATATTTTTACTGTTATAGGACAGTGTTGTCATACAGTGATCTGTTTTTGTGTGTTTCTTTTCAGAGAAGCAAATTTGACCTCAAAGGTAACACTCATTTACATAAGTTTGTTTAACTTACTTTATGTATTCCGGTGTTTTTAGTACCAGTCTATAAAAGTGCTGTTTGCCCACTCGTTTGTGATGAAAAGAAAACCTCCACCTGAAGCGAAACTCTGTGTTCTATCTGTGTGGAGCTCTGTGGATTAGAGGAGAGTGCAGAGAGAAGGAGAACAGGTTGGTGTGGACTCCCGATAACAGCGGGGGCTTAACATCTGACACGTGAAGTCTGAGAGCTAAAGATAGCTCCGCTAACTCCGTCAGGAAAAAAGCAGAAAGTCCATGAAGAAGACATAAAATTAACGACAAATGGCTGCAAGATTAATTTCAGGTTAACCTAGATGGACGGCTGTTTTTCCATACGTACATTTCTCTTTTAAACAAGCAAAAGTAATACTTATAAACTCACTATTACAATGTTATGAGGTATTGATTTACACTTTTCCATAAATGTTGCTATTTCCGAGCAAAAACAGGATCTTAAAAGTAGTTTAACTTCACACAGAGGACTCTACAAACAGACTTCATTCACAGGTAACAACATGAAGAAACAAAAACTGGTATCTCTGTATCTTCTCCTCTTTCTGTATCTTTTTAGAGGAGTTCTTTTGTAAAAAACTGGACCAACACATATATAATATCCTTGACTGGTCACACCCTTGTTTATTTTTCCAGAAGATACACATGTAAAATATTGGTGGACCAGTTCTATCCCAGGCCACGCGTGAGCTGAATGTCTTCGGGGTGAAATCTCTGGTTGTTGTAGTAGCTAACTGGGCCAAGCAGCAGGCAGGCAGACCAGTTTTACACCCACAACGATTCGATTTTATGTGACACCTTGTGGGAAAAGCCAGCTGCCTTCTTTAAAGTCAAGAAAATGGCGTGTTATAGTGTATAATCCAGCTAGCACCTCTCAGGTTCTTTGGTATCCCAAGTGTCCTGCCTTAGAAGCAGCAAATATCTTATTGTGCCAAGAGGTTTTTAACCCTATAATATCAAATTTTTCATATTTGATACATTCGGTTTCGGAAGTCTTTTGGATGTGAGACTTTTTGCATCATTCAGTGGTAAAAGCTTTGCTCAAACCCCTATTGTACACATTCAGATATACCTGATAACAGCCAGTAGAAGACTACACCAACATATATTTTTGACTTATTGCAGGCTTATTTGATCAAAATAATTTCTGTTTTTTTTTCTTCATATGTTGTTGAGGGGCCAAAGAAAGACTTCAGACTAAAAAAAAACAAAATTCTTCCTATTTTTCTTGGATCAGGCTTTAAAGGGCTAAGAAGAAG